TCATAGAACTATTCAAAATCAATGGAAAACAATGCTTGAAGTTCTCCCTGATGAAACTACCTAAGTCTGAGTGTCTCAAAGAGCTGAGAAATTAAAGAAGATGGGTCAAGCCACTGGCTGATGCAACAACTGGAAAAGAAAAGTGCCCTTGGTACCAAGGACATGTGTGCAAAAATCATACAAAAGTGCTTCTTGCCAAAACTAGTTACATAACAAATTACATGACAGTCAAGTTAATTGTTTACTTATTGTTTCCCACATAGCTAGTGGCAGCCATTTTAACTAACTCATTGTAGATATCTATACCAGTGGCATGTTATTTAAACCTTTATCTGACCCTTTTGGCCTTTTCACTCTATTTCCACGGCAGTCTTTGGTTGGAAGGATGCCACTGCTTATGTTGAGACTCCCTGGTTTGAAGCTGTGACACCAGCCCTCAAAGGTGACTGCTTATATATATTCTTCTCATCTGAGATTGCCGTCATTTAATTCTGCTGGCAACTGTCATTGTGCATGACCTGTAATCATTGTTCACTGACAGGCTCAGGTGAGCACATCTCACTGAGTGGTTCTAAATGGTGCAACTTGCTTGGTAAACTCCTGGTAAGGCGTCTCTCAGGGACACAGTTCTTGAATTCTACAGACAGCAGGCAGTGCCCTTGCAACACCTTCCAAAGCCCACAAGGGATGCCTTGACAGATCCCCAGAGGGCATACCGGCATTCACTGGAAGAAACTACTCCTATTGTTGCTCACATCTGGCTGCCTGTCCTCCTGATGGAAAACACAGGTAAGGCCTGAGGTGATTAGAGAAACAGCAGCCCTTTTCTCCCGGACCTTGTGACAGCTTGCTTTCCAATCTTCCCTGCTGAACACTTGTAAGAGAAAGTTTAAATGTGTGATACACGGCCCATGCTTTTCACACCCTTATTAGAAACAAAACAAAATGAGACTTAGGAGCACCTGTTGATGAGGACCGGACTGAGCCAAGTAGCAGGAGTGTGGGTGGTGGATGGGAGGTGTTGCCTGGGCAGTAAATCCAAGTTGCTCACACCAAAGGCAGTGTTTCTAAGGAAGCTATCTGGGTGAGTGGTAAATACTTAGTCATTTAGGACAGGCCATAAATGACCAGTTCATCAACAAGGGAAGGTCTGTTTAAAAAAAAAAAAAAAAGTGCTCACAAAATGGTAGGATGCTGTTTTCCTCTTCAGCCCACCTTTGATGCACCCTTGTTTAAAAGTATAAAAGTTTCTGTAATCAAACCTTTGTTGACAAGGTGTTAAACAGCTACAGTTTGGTTGCTGGGTGTCATTTAAACAATATTTTTTTGAACTATGATTCTAAATAACAAACCAAACTGGATTCAATCCCTTATGAGGTCTGAGACGGTGAGGTATACACCTGGACTTTTCTCCTGCTCCCCAGTGTCGGTGAGTTTTATTATTCTACTTAACTGTCTTGTCACATCTGTCTCCTTCCTTCAATCCATCTCTCAGTCACACCTTTCAATAGCCTTCCTTCCTAAATGATTTTCCTTTCTCACTGATCTCTCAGCCCATTGACTACCCATCTGTAACAATCCTTTCAAAATCGTGGGTGCTGCTGATAAACTTATGGCCAAAAGAGAAAGATGAGGAGAGGAAACCAAATTCTGGGATTCAGGATGTCATCGAGAGCCCACCTACTGTCCCCTTCCTGTGCCCTAAACTCCATTTATTCCAGCTAATTTGCCTTTGCATGACACACCACTTACCACTTTTATGTCATGCATGAACGTGACTCACTCTGCCCAATATACCTTACAAAGTCACCCTTTGACCTTGCTCAAATGCTGCTCCCTTCGAAGCATTTCTGATTCCTTTCCTTTCTCTTTTTTTTTTTTTTTGTTTGTTTGTTTGTTTGGGGTTTTGTTTTGTTTTTCCAAGACAGGGTTTCTCTGTACTGCTTTGGAGCCTGCCCTGGAACTAGTTCTGTAGATTAGGCTGGCCTTGAACCTCGAATTCACGGAGATTTACCTGCCTCTGCTGGGATTAAAGGTGAGCGCCACCAACACCAGGCTTTACTTCCTTTCCTTTAATTCATATTAATCATTAATCACTCCTTTCTTTAGGAGTCCTCTCTCTCTCTCTCTTCCTTCCCCCTTCCTCCCTCTTGTTCTTCTCCCTCCCTCATTGAGATATTCTAAAACTACATAATTCACTCATTTAAAGTATCAAATTTAGTAGCTTTAGTATAATCAACACATTTGTACAACTATTACAATTTATTTTGAAGATTTTTTTCATCACCTTTCAAAGAAAGCCCATATCCATTAAATACCAGTCCATATTCTTCATTTCCTTTTCCAGACTGAGACAAAATGCTTATTCTGGACATTTCATACAAATGGCATTGATAATATGTACTCCTTGTGTCTTTTTTTTACACCCCTTATGGCTGTTTTTTACTTAGCATAATGTCTTCCAGGTCCACCCATGTTGTAGCATGTAAACTTACTCGATTAGACCTTATTATGGCTTTTGGTGGGCATGGTTTGTGCTTGGGATCAAATCTTACACAAGCTAGACATGTGTAACTCTACCATGGATTTACATCTGCAGCCCCTTTTTATTGTTGGATGATAGTTCATTACATTTATTTAGCATTACTAGATTATGGACATTTGAGTTGTTTCTGCTTTAAGCAGTTATGAAGAATGCGTACCTAGCACTTATGGTTTTACTTTATATTAACATTTAATGTATGGCTTGGTATTCTGAGCTGTTTTGTGTCCTAGTTTTTTTTGTTTTGTTTTTGTTGTTGTTGTTGTTTATTTGTTTTCTTTAATTTGGTTTTACCTATAACAATAGTAGGCATTCAATACATGTTTAACAGGAAGGTGCCTGAACAGGTATTGCCAGTTCTCCTTATGTAGATTTCTGAAGAAACACAAGGTACTTAGAGTTAAAACATTAAAGTGAACCAAATAATAACTAAAGACTGCACTGGTATTATAAATCCCAAAGACTGGTGGTTCTCAAATAAACCTTAATCTCTGCATGACTTCCTGGGACAACATGTGTCATAGTTATCTCACGTATGTGGTTTCTTTGCTGATCATACTTGTGATCTGGATGGATGGGGGTATGGAGACACAAGATGTCCTTCCCTGAATTGAACCAGAGTGTTTTGTGCTTAGACTTAGCTTATGATTGAATTCCAGAGCGGTGGTTCTTGATTCTGGCTGAACATCAGACTTCTCCCTGAAACTCCAGGTACAGATAATCTAACTCCCACCCTTTCCCCAGCTTATGAGTCTAGAAGCTGAGAAAGGGCCAGGTATTCACATGCTCTTTAAAATGTTGACATGTAGACATTTCTGGTTTGAGAATAACTGTCTGAAAGCCAGCCTGCAGTTTAAAAACTTCATCTCACAGAGTGCAAGCACCATAATCCTGGACAGTACTTTACTCATCAAGAGATGATGCTACTGCTAAGGCTACCTCCCATTTGTAAGCCCTTTTTATTTGGAAAAAGTTTGCAGTCATCTTTTATTAGCTAGACTCACATGCTGGGTGACCTTGTACAAATCACATAATCCTTTTGTGTCTTAAATTTCCTCATATGTAAACTGTAGGTGGTAATACTGACCCACCCTGGAGGGGTACTGTGGAGACTAATGGAGGCCTATAAAGCAGTCGCCAAACACAAGAATGTTCCATGCATGCTTATTAGTCAGGTATGAAGTCTAGTCACAGCCTTTTAAAATGAGACAAACAGCAAAAGAAACACTTAAGTAGGCCTCCCTGCAAACTTTATCATCATTTGAAAGATCATTTCCCAGCACCAACATTTAGTAATTACTTCTCACTACCAAAAATTAACAAGCAGACACAAATTATGATCACAGGAAGACAGACAATGCAGTAAATACATTTAGAAAGAAGCCCTGAGATCAGTTTGCTGTCTCTTATCAATTTAAGATGTAACTAGAGATTATATCTATAAAAACACTCATAGGGGGAAAAAAACTATTCTCAGAAAATACTTAAGCATGTCCAGATAGGTCCTTCAGCTGGGACTTCTTATTCCTTGTTGATGTTAATCTGGAAGTTGTACTCTTCTTTACTGATATCTTCTGTATAGCAACATTTAGTGTCATTTCTCCCATGTGACAGAAAGAATGTGTGGTCAAATGAGACCTTCACCTCTATTTCACAATGGGACTGGGTGTGAATGAGACAGGACTCCGTAGCCTGGGAATCCAGGTAGGTTTTATAAACATGGTTGGCCCACAGCTAAGAACTCATTTGTGCGTGTTCAGCTTCTCAGAAGGAGGCAGAAAGCAAACCTGGTTTTTAACCTGTATTTCAATTTTTTTCTACATTTTGCCTTGAAAAGGTCAACATTTAAAGGGCCAAGTTTACTTTGCATGCTATTTAATCCACAACTGCATGCTTTCTGTGACTCCCATACTAGCTAAGAAGATCCAGGAGCCGGACCTTCCTGGCACTTGAGCTTGATCTCACTATTACCTCTTTGGGTCCTTGAATTTAGGTTGAATTCCTGAGGACAGTTGGTTTCTTTGGTTAATGTCACGATTTGTAACAATTAAATTCTATGTAATAAATATTTTTGAATCCTAACATCTGTGGGCAATACCACAGTCTTTGCTGTGGAGGTTATTGGGAGTTCTTTAAGATACCTCAGTGTTCCTGTAATTCGATGACCTTCACTTATAAGAACACCAGGCTCCCACACACAGCCCCAGGATTTGGTTAGCTGATGTGCCAGTTTTATGGGGATTCCTAAACTAACCTTTGACAATAGGCAAGTTGTACATTTTCATTTTTCACTCTGTGACAGCTTTTAGAGTCTGATCAGAAAATAAGAGAAGTCTGAGATGAGTCAAGTCCAGTTCCTTAGACCTACCCACGGGCTTGAAATTCGTATGTTTTATCTGGGCATTTAAATGACCTGGAAAACCTATTCCTGTTCTACCCTCTGGTCCCTTCCCCACAATGACTATGCTACAGCTGGGCATTCTCCTGTATTGTATTAAATTATTTGCCCATCTTCATGTCTCTGTGCCATTCCCACAACCCACAGTTCCCATTTGTCAAAACTGACACAACCTTCAGTGGCTTTGAATCCCACTGACTCCAGGAATCTTAGCATACTGTCACTTCCTCCTCCTCTAAACTATGGTCCTGTCTCAACAGGGCACTCCTGCTTGACAGATCACTTCCTGGTCCAGCAGAATACAAGTTCCTACAAGACAGAGGCCACATATAAGGTACCCATGTTTGTGCACCACTACTACACAGACGTTGGTGCCTTGCCAAGAGTAAGTAGTACTGAATAGGCATCTGATTGAATGAACAATTTCTCACCCTGCCCCTATTGTGCTTTTGGATAAAACCCCTTGCCTCTTTCAGTCTCAGATGTCTCTGCTATGAACAGAGGATAACAGCACAGGCATACTCCCCAGGTGTGCAGGAAGAATAAACCAATGGCTGAAAAGCAATTTAAAATTGTAAAATGAGGTGCTATATATAAATGTTACATAATCAAAATCCTTTCCTTCTGTATTATGTTTTATTTGGCTTTATATCTTCAAATCCTTTGTGGGTTTCAGGATTTTACAGATGCAATATCAGTCACATTAGTACCTAGATTCTCCTGGGTAATGAACAATTTTGTGTATTATAGATCACGGCTACTTTTCCTTGGCACACTTACACATGAATCTGTCATAATTTAGGGTATTCATAATAACTAATGATACAATTCATTTCTAAGGGATAATCCAAAGTTTTTTCAGTCTTTGACTGGCCATTTTATTCCAATAGGGTTGCCTCCAGGGAACTAGCTCCCATGAAGTCTAAAATCTGGGTGATGAATGTAGAATTTTTAGAAACCTAAATCTTCTAGGACCTTTACAATGAGACCTGGAAATGATTTGGGTTTTAAAGCACTGTTTGTTTTCTATGGCCTTCTTTATCTCCCTTTTGATTTGAGTGTCACCAAGCTCTCATTGCAATGTGATGACCTAGGAATCAGGAAAGATATGGATTGAGTCTTTCCACAGGAAAACAGAGCAGTGCTATTTTCTTCCTTGATATGTTCCAGAGGTTGCTGGTAAAAAAAAAACCCTATATTATATTTAGTTCCTATAAATAGTTTTGGACCCATAAGTACATAGCCTACTATTATCCCTATAATAGTTTTTCAACTTAGAGGAGATGGAGATGACAGTGATATGACAGGCTGTCCTTGAGATCAAGGGATTCCTCACATGTTAAGGGGTTAAAATAGAATGTGGTATTTAGTAACTAATCAGTAAGTATTATCAATAGAGGGTCTTCTATAAGCCTGGTCCTGTGCCAGCTCTCACTCCAGCTTCATAACAAGCTAATGGGGCAAACCTAATAACCTCCATACTCCCAGTCTCAGCAATAGGATTTCTAAAGAATGGGACTTCTTCACATAGCAAGAAATTCTTCCTGTTTTAATTCTGTTTATGACAGTTAATTTTATGTGTCAGTTTCACCAAACAACAGAGTAGCCAGATTAAACATTATTTCTGGAGCTTTCTATGGTGATGTCTTGGTTAGTTTGACACAGGCTACAGTTACCTTGGAAGAGGAACCTCAGTTGAGAAACCACTTCCATCCAATTGCCTATAAGCAAGGCGGTAGGGCATTTTCTTAATTAATGATTGATATAAGAGACCCAGCCCACTACGATTAGTGCCACCCCTTGGCAAGAGGTCCTGAGTTGTATAAGAAGCAGACTAAGTGAGCCATGGGAACAAGACAATAAGCAGTGTTCCTCTGTGGTCTCTGCATTAGTTCCTGCCTCCAGATTCCTGCCTTGAGCTCTTGCCCTGACTTCCCTGCATGATGGACTACAATTGTAAATGAAATAAAGTGGTTTCTGGAAGAGAGTAGCATTTGAATAGGTGTATACAGTAGACCAATTCCCTAATGTGAGCATCATCCAATTTGTGAAGGACTGAAAAACACAAGAGGAAAAATCCCCATTTTGCTTCCTACCTGTCTGCTTGAGCCTGGAACACTCATTTCTTGGTTTTAGACGGGCTTCTGGACCACCAGCTCACCTGATTTTCAAGTCTCAGGTAGTAAAATTAAATCCCTGGTTTTCTTGGGTCTCCAGTTTAGAAAAAGCAGATTAGGGGATTTCTTGGCTTCCATAATTGAGTCAATTTCTCATAATGAATTTCTGTCTGTTTATGCATATATAGGTCACACTGATTCTGTTACTCTATGGAGATCCCTACAGTGGAATCCATCCTCCTCATCTTCTCCCTGAGCACATAATCCTCCCTTTTACAATGGCTGCCTAATCCCTCAGAATTGCTTATTTCATTATAATTTTTTTTCTTCTTGTTGTTGTTGTTCTTTTTCCCCCAACTTGTTTTTTTTTTTTCAAGATAAGTCTCATTTTCATTATGAAGTCCTGGCTGTCCTGGAGCTCACTGTGTAGACCAGGCTGACCTCAAATTCAGAGATCCACCTGCCTCTGCCTCCTGAGTGTGCTGGGATTAAAGGTATGTGCCACTCTGCCTAACATCATTAATGCTAGAAGTGTTTGTTTTGAATTTCCCCTGGTAGATTCCTGACCACCTTGTGTAGTTTTATACCAGGCCATCATTTTTCAAGATTGTTAGAGTCTTCCATCAGGCTTGTCCTCAGTGATATAAATTTTTTTAGAAATTCAACATAGTTTTTCTTCTGAGAATGTATGTTGAAATCCCAAGTGTTTGTAGAACAAAACTGCTCTTCCCTACCCTTTCTGTTAGCACATTTTATCTCATTTAGACCTGTACCAATCTAACTCTCCAATGCAGAAGTTGCTTTGACATCCAAGTAGAAGATTGCATTGTTTGTGGGTGATAACACACTTGCTGAAGATGCTGTAACATCAAAATCTCTTACAAAAATATCTTCTAGTTGGTGTGTACAAACCAATGCCATACTCCCAATTTTCAAAACCACCTCCATGATATTTTGTAGTCTATGCAGAAATTAATGTCTCAGACTGCTTTGTCTTTAGTTATCCCTCCCATCTATATAAAATTGGTCAGAAATATCATTGCATTGTCATTCATGGGAAACTATTAATGAAGTTAATGACTTGTTCAATGTTTTAGAATGATTCCCAAGCAAAGATGATTTTTGAGTGTATAGCTTCTGGCAGGAATCTATAAATGCATTTCCTTATAAAATCTTTTGGGTGGTCCTTTAAAAAATGTGAACAGTTTTCTGTGTTAAAGGGGATGGTGGGAATGGAAGAAGGGGAAATAAAGTCTTTAGTTAAGCAAAATTTTCAACTCTAGCTCTGCTTCAACTCTTTCCATTTTAATTATGCATTCTCTCTTTTCCAAAGTGTGTGTGTGTGTGTGTGTGTGTGTGTGTGTGTGTGTGTGTGTGTGTGGTCATTTTACATGTGCCAACTTTGTGGAGTGGGTTCTCTCCACTTTTCTGGGACTCAGACTTGAGTTATCAACCAGGCTGTGCAACAAGGACTTTTACCTGATGAGCCCCCTTGCCAGTCCCTATAGTGTGTCTTAGTTTGCATTTCTCTTGCAGTGATAAGGACTATAATCTAAAGCAACCTGTGGAGGAAAGAGTTTATTTGGCTTACATATCTCAAGTCAACAACTGAATCAGAGACTATAGAGGACCACTACTTACTGATTTACTCCCCTGCTTGCTGGCTTACTCAGTTTGTGTTCTTATACACCCCAGGACCACCTATCCAGACATGGCACAGCCCGCAGTAGTCTGAGCTTTTCCTTACCAATCATCAGTCAAGACATTGTGCCACAGGCTTGCCCACAGGCCAGTCTGATGGAAGCATTTTCTCAGTTGAGGCCCGCTCTTCTCAGATGACTCTTGTGCTGACAAAACCTAACCAACCATTATATATTCTCTTTAACATCTTTTGAAGTACTTGGTAATCAAAGATAGATGGTAAAGGGCCCCTTCTCTTTGTTTCCATTTATAGGACAAGAGTCCAGTGAGATCTGAATAGATAGAAATTGCATGTGTAAGTAATTGTCTAGAGCACACTATTTCCCCCATTTCAGCCTCACGCTCTTACCCCTTTTCAGCCTGCAGTACTACTATAAATGCAAAGCATTTGCAGTGCATAGTCACCATTGTCATGGGGTCCCCCTTGAGCAGCTAAAAGCAGTAAGACAATTCTGCCAGCTGTTTTGTAGCCAAGGAATAAAGGTAAACAGAGGTTAAGTGACTGCCAAAAGCACTCACCATGGCAGCTGTTCAGATGGGAACTCATAGCTCTAACCAGTCACAGCCCATTCAAAGGTTCTAAAGTACAGCTTGTGAGAGAGGGACCACACTGCCTAAACACAGATTTGCTTACCATCCACAATGGAAAAATCCTGCATCTGTGGTTCTGACTCTTTTCATTCTTTTGCAATGTGGTTTACAATTTTATGCTTGAGTATTTTATTTACTTCATTTCCACCCCTCTGCCAGCTCCTCCTGTGCCCTCCCCAGGCCCTCTCAAATTCATGACTTCTTAATTGTTGTTAAAGATACATGTGTGTGTATATCTTCTGTTGCGTTCATTTAGTATTGCTCATGACATGTTTAAGGCTGACTGCTTAGGATTGGATAACCTATGAGGCTCATTCCTGAAGAAGACTGACCCTGTTTCTCATGCAGCCACTAATTGCCTGCGACTCTTCATATACGTGTAGGGCCTAATGAGATTCCTTCCTACACATTGGCATGCCAAGTGGCATTGTCACTGCAGGCTGTTGAGATTTTATGGGTACAGCTCTGGGTCATATAGAAGAAACAATCTCGCAGCAGACATTCTGGTCCTCAGACTCTTTCAACTTTTCTGCCTCCTCTTCTACAATGTTTCCCAAGTCTTGGCTGTGGAATTTGTGACAGAGATGTACCAATTGGGGTTGAGCATCCAGTGGCAAGTTTTTCTCTGCGTTTTGACATGTGTGGATGTCCGTAATAGTCTTCATCCACTGAATAAAGCTCCTCTTATAAGGGTGAGAGGTTTACTTATCTGTGTGTGTAAGGATAAGTATTTAGAATGCAGTTAGAAATTGTAGTGGTTTGGGAAAATGGCACAGTGGGTTCCTTTTAGGGTCAATAACACTCACCAACCCCAGGGAGTTGGATAGGTTTACAGAACTAAGCATGATTTCCCTTCTAATGAGTGGGCCTTAAGTCCAATTAGTTTTTATTAGCTAGACTATGGCTCTCTTAGGGTGAGCTATTTTACCTTTATAACTATATATACTATACATATTATATAGTTATATATGTTATCTAGTAATATATACTGTATTTATACATGTAATATAAAGTAAACATAAGATAATGTTTCCCCATGGCATTTTCAAATATTTTTAGTGCTATTTATTTCTTCTCCATCCTTCTCCTGCTGTGTTGCCCTCCCTTCCCCCTTTTTAGTTAAATCTCCATTTTTCTTGCTTCCCCTTCATAGCATCTGTGTCCTACTATCCCCTCTCTATTACTCCTCTACCCACCTCCCTGGT